GGACGACGACGACGATGTCGACGACGACGACGCCGACGCCGACGCGGACGCGGGCGTTGACGACACCAACGACGACGACGACGCCGTCGCCGATGCCGCCGCCGCAGCCGACGCCGACGCCGACGCCGACGCCGACGCCGACGCCGACGCCAACGCCGACGACGACGACGACGACGACGACGACGACGACTACGACGACGACGACGACGACGACGACTACACCGACGACGCCGACGCCGACGCCGATGCCGACGCCGACGCGGGTGATGACGACGACGACGACGACGACGACGACGCCGACACGGATGCGGACGACGACGGCGTCAATGACGACGACGCCGACGGGACGTCGACGACGCCGACGCCGACGCCGCGGATGACGACGACGACGACGACGACGACGACGACGACGACTACGACGACGACGACCGATGCCGACGACGACGACGACTACAACGTCGTCGACGCCGACGCCAGCGCGAACGCGGACGCGGACGACGACGACATCAACGACTACGACGACGTCGACGCCGACGCGGCTGACGACGCCGACGCGGATGACGACGACGACGTCGAAGGCGACGACGACTACAACGACGACGCTTACGCCGACGCCGACGACGACGCCGACGCGGATGACGACGACGACGACGACGACGATGACCACGACGACGACGACGACGCCGACGCGGACGCGGACGACGACGACGACGCCGGCGCCGACGCGGATGACGACGCCGACGCCGACGCGGACGACGACGACGTCAATGATTTCGACGACGACGCCGGCGCCGACGCCGACGCTGACGCCACCACCGAGGTTGGCGCCCGCCGCCAGCGCGGCCCTCGCCCTCGCCGTCCTGGTGGGCCGGTGAGGCCGCCTCTCGCGCCGTCGGGTCCCCGCCTTTCGGTGGAAGCGGGAGAATGGCGGGGGACGAGGAGGAGAAGGAACGCATCAACGATTTTGCAAGGATCCCTCACTCCAAGTTCCCTCTTCACAGGTCCCTGCAAGGATTTGTCAGCATTGCGGAAGTGTCCCGCTGGAAGACAAAAGTCTGAAAACCCTCAACCGTGCCAAAATACAGTTCTTGTGACTTCAGCACCGCGAATCAACGTGACTATTGCGCCCTGACGATCCTACCTGGTGCCAGAACACCGTTTCTGGGATTTCAATAGCGCAAGTCAATGTGACTGCTGCCCCACCACCTCAAAGGTGGGCGGTCTTCTCGCAGGTCGCAAGCGCGCGCGGCACCCCATCCGCTCGCCACCGCTGCTGCCGCCACGCGGCCGCTGCTGCGATCGGAATGGCCCATCGCCTCACACTCCTCCTTCTCTTTCTCTTTCTTCTTCTTCTCCACCCGTAGTGCAGATCACAAAGCATGTTGGGATTGCGGGCCAATGTTTTTGTGTGGAGCACCCTTGCAAGATAGAACCCTAAAACCCGCAACCTTCGAGCCCTTCATGGATGGCGGGCGGCGATTTTCCAATTCCGGCGCCTTCTAATCGGGTTTGGGGCTTTCTGCCCTCGGACATTAGATTACGATCTAGAAGCCGGGGGCTTATTTGAATCGCATTGAGGCTTCTTGTGGGATTATTTAATCGCTTCGCTCATTCCGCCGGTCGCGCTATTTTGGGCCTCTTGGGGCCGTCTTGAGGGCTTCTTGGGAGCTTCTTGGGAGCGTCTTGGGGCTCCTTGGCGGCGTATTGGCCTCCCCTGGGGCCTCTTGGGGGACTCTTGGGGGCCCCTTGGGGCGGGAGGGGGTTAGTCGTTGGCAGCCCCCCCCTCGGAGGCCACGATCCACGTGAGGGGTGGCGAAAAGTAGCCTCCCCCCTGGGGATCGCCCGGGGTCAGCCGGGGATCGGCCGGGGTACTTTTCGTCCAGGGCCCCCCAGGGGCCGCCCCGCGCGCGCGAATTATAAATATTGTTAAGTAGTTACCGGAGATCTTAGCACGCCTCTGGCCCGTTGGGCCGGCGAATTGGGGGCGTTTGGGGGGGTCCGCGGGGATTCTTGGTCTCGGGGGCAATGTTTCTTCCCTGACAGAGTCCTTGTTCAAAATGAAATTTGTGAGTTGTCCCTTCGCCAGGGGGTCGTCATAATAGTCTAGAGTAAGTCGTGATGCGTCTGCCAAGCAGGTCAGCGACCTCTGTGTTGCTGCTGTGGTTGTCGTAGACTACAGAGCCCGCAAAGTAAGAGTGATCAATTTTCCAAGGTTGCCCTTGCATCCTTGCCTCTTTCCGTCCATCCTTGCCAACTTTCGCTGGCCAGCTCCTTACGGTACCCTTGGGGCGGGCTGCATCCCTCCTTTGCGCGGCGCGACGCACCTGGTGGCCAAGCCTGACGAATGCGCTATGGGCAGGGCACCCGTGGCCATCCTCGGGCCCAGTTTCGCCAGCCTTACATCCACGGGGGCCGCAGCCCCAAGGATGCGCGACGCGCAGGGTACCTTTGCTCATCCTTGGCCACGTCTTCCTTGCCTTCCCGCTCACGGGTGGGCGCGGCCCTGAGGATGCTGGATGAGCAAGGCACCTTTGGCCATCCTCCGCACAGTTTTTGCCCCTGACGAGTTCTGAACGCCGGCGGCGCCGGCGCGCGACCCGCCGCGGGCGCTGGGCGGCGCCGTTGTTCTGGCGGATGTAACGCCGCCGGGGAAGAGGCGCCGCAAGGCCGCACAGGCAGCGCAAGCCGCCGCAACGCGCTCATCTTGACGGAGTGTCGCTGGTGCGTTTTCGGTGGTTTTGTGGCTCAGCGGCGCTATCCCGAGGGCTCGCGCGCCGCTGCCTTCGCACAGCCTGTGTCCAAGTACCAGGTAGAGCACGCGAGTAGTGGTTGGCTCTGCTGCCGCTGCCACCCCGTAGTTTGTTGTGCCTCCCGTGGGCACTCGACGTGCGGCGCCCGCCAAATCGGCTCTGCTCTGGCGGTGACCACGCTACAGTCATCGTCCTCGACCGACGATGACGACGACGACGATGGTCACCCGCTTGTGCGCGCGCGTAGAGCATTGCGAGCTTGAAAGCCTGGGAGCTCAAGTGACCCCTTACCTGTGACCGATTGCGCGTAGATCATTCTGTGCCGTTTAGAACAGAAGATTCGCCATGTGGGCCTAAGAAACCACAGTAAATTTTCAGGAATTACCAATTCGATTTCCAAGTAAACATGGGTTCCATTGTGTGCTCTTTATGATGGCCAATACCGGAAGCCCTACCCGTGCGAACGCGCGCGGGTGATCATGGTCACCCGCCCGTGTCTGCGCGTAGGGCATGTGGTATTTGTTCAAAATAGGGAGGTTTCCATGTTGGCTTGGAAACAAAACTCAACCCTCAGCGGTGACCGATTGGTTTCCAAGTTCACATCGGCTGTTTTTGTATCTTCTCTATTCTGGGCAATACCGAAAGCCACGCGCGCGCGACCCTACATCAGTGAAAGTGCTGCTGGTTTTTAAGCCTCCGGCTCTCCGGCTCATTAGCGGCAAGGAGTTTCAGGCGAACCGCCGGGCCCCCGCCATTCAGAGTGGATTCGGGCTGCGACAGGGAGGAGTTCTGCCAGAAGGGAAGGGAATGGGACAAGAGGAAGGACGCGGAGGAGGAGGGGTCGGGGGGGGGGAGGGGGAGGGGCGCAGGTGGCTCGACCGCGCGCTCGCTGCGCGGGCACCCGCGCGGCGACGCAGTCGGGGCACTGGCCTCCCAGGGCACCAGAAGAATAATCATCTCCCAAACGAAGGCTCGACTTCCACGCTGGAGGCCCTTTTCTTCCTGCATTCGTGGAGGTCGTCTCAGAGTCCAAAATGGAGGTTCGGCCTCCGAATTCAAGATTTCCGATCCCCTGGGGAATGCCTCTCCAGGATAACTGGTGGTCTCCGAACGGCCCCGTGACCACGCCGTCCACCACCGTCTGGTGAGCGTCACCATGAAAGGGGGGATCCTGGAGGAAAGGAGTCCTGGACATCTTCCACCGCTTTCGGAGGGCCCCAGAGGCGTCAGAAAACAGCTCGGGAGGAAAACTTGGTTCCGAGGGACGGCCCCGGGGACCAGGACCCGTTTCGCTCAGGGATTTGCGGACTTGGCTCGCTATGGGAATTGGGTCGTTTCCGACGATGTCCCGAGCATCTGAGGTTTCCAACGATCCGAATACCCATAATTGTCTTCTGGTAAACCGTCTGGTGGGGTCTCCAGGGTTGCGAAGTAATTTGGTCTGTCATTGGACGGTTGCGGGGGCACCGACGATGGCGGGGCTTTCGACCGCGCGAGAGCATTTTTTTTGTTTTGGGCAGCAGGCCAGAATCAATCCAAGAGAGGTTTTCCGGACATGTGTTTGTGTATGTGTGCGTGTGCGTGTGTGTATGTGTGTGTGAGAGAGTGTTTAAGTGTGTGTGCGTGTGTTTTGAAAGGGATGCGGACTCTCGAAAGAGAAATCGAATACAACCTTTTCCAACTTTTCCTTCGGCCGCACTCCGATGCAGCGAGCTCTCGCTCCAGGCCGTGCCGCGCGAGGTGGAGCACCTGATGCCCTCGCTCGGCACTGCTGCTTCAATCTGGCTTGAGCCAGCAAAATGTCTATGGATCCAACGATCCAAATCTCGTGAGGTCCTCTCAGCGCGTGACCCCCACCAAGCACTCTAGTCCTCTGGTCCCCATCGATTCTACCGACCATCCTGTCCCCCGCGGCGATAATGTGTGCGCCCTAAAGCTGGGGAACGACGAAGCAAAGGGAGGCTTTCAGTAACTCCGTACACTTCAAGAGCCTCCATCGCCTGCGAACTTACCAGCAAAGAGCTTCATAGGATATCCACAGCCGTAACTTACAAGAAAGCTCCCCTTGCTCCTTTGATACCTGAACCAACCCATAAAATGACTGAGATAATACCCGGCCACGCTCTTGAAGTAACCTGGATCGGCAAACCTGTCGCTTGCCCTAACATTTCGATGTCTTCTGCCACTCTCCGATGAATTGTATGAGATTTTACCCACCCACTGGCACAGAATCTGCAAATGTGGACTGTTGAAATAACCATTCCCGCTCTGATCCCCAACCATTATGCCAAGCATAAAACACAGAGCACCTGTGACCAACAATGCAGAAACTATACGGTGATACAAGATACCTTTTTTCTTTCCACGAAAGGCAACGCGAGCAAGATCGGCCATACCATCATCCTCGGAGTCGGGTTCGTCGGAGTCGTACTCCCATCGATCCAGATTTACCAAGGATTCGAAAAGGCCCGCCGCACGCGCCTCGATGGACCGCGGAAGCACCGGAGGACCACCGTTCTTCTTCCACAACGTGTTCATCTTGTCGGTGACCTTGCGATCCTTGCACGCTTTGATTGCTCCGACGAACTCCTCCTTGGTCTGGCCCAGTTTGACGTTGCCCCCGAGCTCTGCTTGGATCCACCTCATCCGATCTTTGGACAAGATCGTGCATACTTCTCCTGGTACTTCGACTGGTGCTTCGACTGGCGCTTCACGGCGCACGGCTCCCGAAGGTGGCGGCGTCGGTGGGAAAACCGACGATTTGGGTGGCCAAGGAGACGTGCCCGCTGATCCCTCTGGAGACCCCGTCGGACGCGAGTGCGGCGGCGGAGAGGGAGCCACGAGATCTGCTGGCACGACAGCCTTCAGCACGTCCTCGAAGCGCTTCCCGAATGCCTCTGCCAGGACCTTCCCTTGCTCCAGCATCTCCTCCTTCCGCCTCTGCCCCTTCTCCTTCGCCTTCGCTTCGATGGCCGCCTTGTACGTCGGGGAGTTCGCGCACCAGCTTCTTCGCCCTCTCGAGCTCCCTCGCTGCCCTGTTGTCTGGGGACGTGGACGGAGACCGACGACGCCTCCCCTCACGAGGTGAGTGAGTACGCTTCTGGTCGTAGTAGTCATAGCTGCGGTCCCTGTGGTAGCTGCCCCGTCCACCACCATAGCCACGATCTTTCTCGCGCC